TAACCCTTGCCCTTTCAATATGGGAGCTTTGAAAAGGGCCAATCTGCAAAACCCAACCATCATCAACCTATGAGCCACTATGTTTCCATCAACAAGCTATATGCATTTAAAGTACACATACCGTGAAGCAACTTATTTTAGAGGATACGTTAGAAGGCAGTTCGTTTGGATTAACATAAAACACTTCCAAATGGAACAAACTACTTCGCTGTAATTGTAGAACTTTAACACTTGGAATTGGCTGGCCTCTTGGAAACAACACACCATCTGACCCCTGGGAAATTGGGCTTTCATTTGAAGAGAATCCTATGGAGAATGGAATACAATCTTGAACCTATGGAAAAATAAAAAGGAGATTGCCTTTACTATATTAAAGAATGCATAAATTAAGCAAAACAAGGTTCCTCATATGGGAGAGAACATGCAGTGGTTAACCTTGGATCTCTGTTATATTATGGAGAATGAGCAACAACGGGAAAAATATGAATGCAAAAGTTGCAGTAAACTTTTGGGCTCCATATTTTTTCCATATACAAAAAAATGCTGAAGCTAGCAATAAAATGTGAACAGAAGAAACAACCACGTTTTAAAGTGATCATTAGAAGCAATGCAGAGAGTTATACTTTTGACCCAGTTACAAACCTCATAATCTCTAACCCGAAAAACTGGACTGAGCATTGCACATTGGAGAGCACATCCGCGTGCCACACACTCACTTGCATTTATTGTCCGACCAGGTTCTCGCCTAAATAGAGAAGCTAACTGTCTTGTTATAGCTGGTACCCTGGACCCTGATCCAACAAGCTCAACAGCATGGATTCTCTCCACAGTCAACCCAGCATCAGCTAAAGCTTTAATACAAGGAAAGTTAATCGTCTCTAACAACTGGGAAGCCAACTTCTCAAATTCCTCCCTCCTGATGAAACCTTTGACATCCTTTTCATCCATCAAACACTCAATATTTAGAGGTGCCTCTGCATTTGCACTCAAAACCTTCTTCAGTTTCTCACATGCTGCCCTTAACCTGATACAAGCCCTCACATTAGAGTACACATCTATATCATACTGCTCCTTGAAATGTGCTGCAAAATGACTAAACAAAATCTCATCAAAATTCCTTCCCCCCAAGCTGCAATCAAAAGCATGTGATAGTATCCTCATGTGTCCAGCCTCAAATGACACAATGGAGACCTGGGTATCACAATGACCAATATCAACAAATGCAACATAAGTTGGGCTGGCATTGGATAAATCTGTTTTATAAATCCCATAACCAAGTGCTGTTGCAGTGCAGTCATGCATCAATCTCAGAGGCTTCAACCCTGCAATTGCAGCAGCATCCAGGTAGGCACGTCTTTGCAAGTCAGTGAAGTAAGATGGAATCCCAATAACACAATCCAAAACAGAAACTCCCAAATTTGTCTCTGTTATACATTTCAGATGTGCAAAGAGCATTGCCATAATCTGCACTGGCGTAAATCTATGTGTCTCACCTAAATACTTCAAGTGAATCAAAATGCCCCCATCCTGACCCTCTGAAGTTTCAAATGGTGACAATCTCAACTCATTCTCAACGTCAGGATCCTTGAACTTCCTACCAATCAACCTTTTCACATGAGATACCGTAGTTTTTGGGTGCATCATAACAGAAGCAGCACCGGCAGTGCCAAGGAACCTCTGCTTCTCTCCGAAGCATACCACTGCCGGAGTTTCACGTTTGGATTCGTCATTCAGCACCACATCAACGCCCCTTTGCTTTACAGCAGCAATAACACAGTTCTCATTTCCAATATCAAAACCTACAA